CTATAATTACTCAGTTATAAACGAGATGATGCAATATGAAGTCGCCAAGTTGAAAAGGTCATAAAAGAAACAATTAAGTGAAATACCTCGGAGATGAAAGCTGTACTAGAGAGCTATCGAATATATTCGCGAAGGAAGAGATTCATGATTTGTTTGGGAATTTTCTAGCAAGCGAACAGTGCTTGGTTTGGAACAGATCAGATGATTGATCAGTTGATGATATTCGCTTGTTGATCCAAATCAACATTCATGATGATCTGCTTTGTGATCTCTCACAAAATACGGTAGTTTTGGAACTGAATCGATGGAATCAGCTTGAATTCCGTAAACCATTTCATATCGAGACTCGGATCAAGCCATTGCTGATTGAAAAATTATAATTAGGAGGGTACGTTCGATTGTTGTCATAACACTGTTTTCAGTCATTAATCGGCTTCTGTCAATTGTTTGCGGTATTCATGCACAAATAAATACATATTGATGGATTATAACGGATCATTAAATTCGGATGCGAAGCACCGACAAATCATAAAAAAGGTAATTTGCAATTACATCGCGAAACAGTTATCGAACAGAGCGCTAATTGACGCCTTCAAAGAGAGATTAGCTCAGCTAAGGGATGCGATTGGTGAAACCTTAACGGATAAAGCATGATGCGAGTGAGCGAATCGCTTTGAAAATTGATATTGTATAAAGCGATTAGACTTTCGGTTAGTGAAGAATCAAACCAACAACGGATATTGTCTGTCTTCTCTGAACGCTTCATTATGTTTATACAAAACAAATCATCCAGCAGATACTACAGTAACCATCTGTCGAATGAACTTGCCACAAAAACTTCGAAAAACCAATGCAGTATCTGAGTGAATGGCAGCTTCTTGGTTCCGGATGTCTTCTATGAATCAGTCAGCCAAGTCTTTCGCTAAATGATCCGAGAGATACAAATTGATGATTTGGTAATATCTGATTATCAAGTCACACGAATTTATAAGATATATTTTTTGAGATGTTCGAGTGGAATCCATCAAATCCGCTTATTGAGGGCACTTTTTGCGTAAATGATCGAATTTGGTCACCTCATTGAACTTATTTTGACCAACTGCGTAAATATTATCACAATAAAATACGTCTTTATTTGCATACGTTTGTTTGTAAACCAAAACAAATCATTGACTCAAGTGATGAACGAATAATTTTTCACTTCCTTATTGTTATTTACTCAACTGTTATTGAGTTCATCAGGCCTTATGTAAATTATATGGTTCAAAAATTAAAAGATTGATCGAAGTAATCCAGTAAACAAGAAATCGAACATTAAATATCTGATGTAGATGTCAAAATCTAGGTTAACGGTAAATTTATGTGCGGGAGAACACTGACCCACATGGGAACAGCTTATGATAAGATGCTCTAAAGCAAACAAATTGTTTGACTAAAACAGAAGGGTAAATAGGTGGGTATTTGAGCATTGTATCATAATATGATAAGAAAGAACGATTGCGATTAAGGTTACGCAAGTGCAGAGGTTAATATCTTCATCAGTGATTATGACCTATGTTCATGTGAGAAAGGGCTATTGTTTACTGAGCATTGAATCATCCATTAAACACAAAAATATTCTTAATTTATTATTACTTCCTAACGGAGGAACTACTTCACTTCCTAACTGTTATTTTTTATTATTACCATAAGGATTAATACTCCTAACGAAGTGAAGGTTTCCTGATTTCATTGAAAATCCATGATGAAATGGATGATTACGTGTTTTGTCGAAACTGACATTCGATTCGAAAGAGCAGAGACTATGATTGAGCGATTATTTTGTTAGTAAGCATATCGAAATTATCATTTATTGATATGTTTGATTTAAAACAATAACTAAACAATGCACAATGAAATATTCACATTTATTTGACACAACATAATTAATGACGAGTGATTACATAGGGCATGACTGAATGAAACAATTCAAGTACAATAAAATTATCATCGTTCAAATGTCTCCAGCAGACGATCACAATAAATCATTAGCAACGACACCATCATGATGCCGTGAGTGTTCTCGCTTCCAGAGATGTTCGTTCAATTCAAGGAAGAGTTATCAAGTGATGGAAATTGCAGCAGTTAAATGGTATTAATGGAGCGTTGATATTATGAACGTTACAAACGCATATAGGATTGCGTGGAATGGTCGTGTTGGTTCCTCCTGAAAATTGAAATTTTTATTCGAACAAATTCATTTTTAAAAGATATTATGATCAGATTCAGATCAGTTGTTCAAAAATGGAAGGAAGAAGCAAAAATTTACAGTGTAAAATTCCCTGTCGAATTCATCAGCCATTTGCCGAAGTCTTTGAGCAATCGCTTCGGTGCACGCATCAGTTGTCTCACCTGCAATAGATATTCGTCAATTAACGAGTCATCGAAGTGGATCTTCTTTAATAAAAGCGTTCAAATTTCATTTCATTTTAAACTTTTTTGGATTTCCACAGATGTATTCACATGAAAATTTTCCGAAAATTTCGAAGGAAACCCCAAATCATCTTATGAATTTGCACTAGCAAACATTCCATTAGGTCATATTTCACTTGAAGGACTAATCATTAACTTACAGGATGTGGTTTGCGTTTTGACGGTTTTTGTTTGCCTTCCACATCGCTGACGTTCGTCTTCTCGACTTGTTCTTTGCTGAGCTGGATCACCTTTTTGGTGTATGATAAAAGATGTCGATTCAGATGCACCATTACGTTCGATAGTTGAGGATCCTCGTTGTCTTAAGTTGATTTTCAGAAACTGGCAATCAGACGGTCTTGATTCTGATTGAAATGGTGGTGAATATGACGATGATGATGAGGATGACGATGACGATGTACTGACGACCAAATGATGATAGTGATTTTGATCAAGATGACAATGATCTGTGCTAGTGAAATGATCAATATCGGTACAAACGCTCGCTGAATGAGGAGGAACAATATAACGAATCGAACTCTCATAGCCAAAACCACCAAAATTAATAGCTGTTTCTGTGGTGAGAATGCACGACGTTAACATATCTGAAATTGTTTCTCAGTTGCTCTCAACCCTCTGCATGGTGCTTACCCTCCTTTCACAAACAATTTTAACCATTAGCAAGTTTTGCGTGTAGTTCAAGCAAGAAAGCATTGTCAGCGATAGATATAGATAGATGTTCAAAACGCTGCATGCAAATTGCTAGTTTGATTGGCTTCGATGGTATAGCCTTTTGTTACAGCAAGGATACGGTAAGCAAGCAACGCAAATGAATGAATGAGGCAGGTATGAACATGAAAACTGAACAGATTGACTTGATGCTTTATAAAGAACTTACCAGTGTGTAAATGGAAGTGATTTTATGGAACTATTGAATGAGGATAATGAGTTTGAGGATAATAAGAATACGTTTTTGGGTGACTCGATTATGCCGATGAGAGATTACAGCACGGAATACCGCAAAAAGAGCAAATATCTTGCTCAAGAGAGCACTGAACAGAACAGAGCCGAAATCAGGCGATCTGGTAGACAGAGAACGGAATGAGGCTCAATCGTCCACCGGTCAAATGCAACAATCAATTGATCTATCATGCAAACAATCGCTCAATTAATATGGCTCCTCAGCTCCAGCTAGCAGCCACGCCTTTCCCACAATCAGCCGATCATCGTATTGGTTTCAGTTCAGCTAGGTTACGACGATTTCGCGGAAAGGTCACGCCTACCGTAATACTCACGGCTGGCATCGCTCTCTTTTCCTGTCTCTCCCTCTTGAGATCTCCTTATGTCTATCCGTCTTAAAGTATCTCTCTGGCTTGATACCTCTGTCGCTGAACCTGGTCAAATAATGAAACGACTCAAAATCATAATTCTCGGAACTAAGCTAATCCTCAGAATCCAATTTTTACCGCATCGTAGTAATTGCGATGTGGTAAAAATGTAATTTCGAAGGTTTTCATATTTGAATCAAGAAAAAACATCGATGCAATCCTCAGAACATCAGCTGTGAGTCTTCAAAAAATTCACCATCTTGAGAGATTAAATGTTGTCTTGCAAAGCAAACTGATTAGTCTTGAATGTCTCACTGAATTCAGATTACTTAGAACAACATGACGTACTTCTATTCATGTAAGAAATGTTTTTTGAGCTAGCATTCTTTCAAAAACTATCAATAAGCGAGTGATAAGAAATGAAGATTTTTGACATTTATTTAGACGGATGCAAGGGGATATTCAGTGCAGATGTTCTTTCGTGTCCAAATCTCATTAGGTTGAATTATGGTACGACTGCGTTGAATCGTTTATCGTCGTCATCAACATCTTCTTCAACACTATTACCATTATCACCATCCACTCATTCATTAATCCGAAGATCCTTCCAAGATGATCGTTTTTGCCATTCATTCAACAGTTTTTTCGATCGATTCACATTTCGTGACAATTTAACGGTTTGATTGGCAAGCATCGAACAAAATGAATATGCGTGAATGTGCACTGTCCAAACTGATGTGTCTTGACGTTGATAAAAAGCAATAATTTGTTGTCATTAGCGTCCACTTAAACGCGTAATAATTTCCATCTTGTCAATGTTAATATCAAAATCTATTATGATCCGCAAGATGAATATGCTCAGTTAATTAGTTTATTGCAGTATGGATATGTGCATCACCTATTCAACAATGGCTGCTCAACCAGCTCTAGTGGGCATTGTTATCGTTTCGTAATAAACTACAGCACTCTTCAATAGTGCAATTAGCCACGTGCACTCCTCATTCATTCATAAACCATATAATAATCAAGTCAATCCTCATAATATAATGGTGCTCTTCAGAACCAGCTGCCCTTCCCTTCCGCATTTAGTCATCGCAATCGACACTACAATATTCATTAGGTATCACTCAGCAATTACACTACTTACTGTAATTTGTTATTGTTTAGGTTCATTAACACTCAAAGTCATATCATTATGCCAGCACCTCGTTGGAAATATGTTAAAATACCATAATGCAACAAATTTATTCGTGTTTGGCGATCAAAAGAATTCAATGAGTGAGCTGAAGTTACAATTATCGCAAGGAGATCGCAAGTTTCCATCGCTGTTTCGGAGAAATCGCTATCCGTTCATCCCAAAGAGCGATACAAACTTGCGATTCCTTCCAAGGAGCAATTGAAACTTACCATTCCGCCCAAGGAGTGATAAACTTTCTATCGCATTTGGGAGACCATGATAGCCACACAAGGAAAATAGGAAGAATTGATTTCAATGAAAATCAGAAGTGATCAATTGCCTTATCTCACATCAGCTATTTCAGTTCAATTTTCTCTTATTCAATATGTACTTGAGAAGTGACTTTAATTTCGTGTCTTCAATCGCTGAAATTGTTTTACGGGCTCATGCTTCTCATTGCCTCAATAATTGAATCGTTTCAGCCGAAATTATCAGCGATTATTCACATCATACTGTTTTTAGTTGGCGTAACTAAATTCTGGATCGGTTCTTCGTTTGTGCTCCAAACCAGTTGAAACAATAAGTTAAAAATTAGAGTCGAGACGACAGAAATCATATCGAGCAATCCCATTGGGAAATAAATTAGTGCGTGAAAGCGTTGAGATCAAAACAGCAACCAGTGAAATGATCAACAAATTAATTCGATAATTTATGAGTGATTAAAGTAAACATCGCATTCGCGGTTGATATATCGCTCAACGGGAAACGTTGAATGCTTTATTGCTTGATATCGAGAACTGAGTTGGTGACACTTTGCTGGCTTGATTGAAATTTACTTCATGCTTGTTTCTTCGTTAAGAGTAGCAATATCGCCCTATTATGAATTTTAAAATGTAAGCTACTACTGTACTCCTTTCCTGTTAATTTTAATCGTAATTCATTTCTTTCATTGAATCCATTTTGGTTCGTCAATACAGTAACTACATAATAGACATAATAACGAGTGACAGTAATCGAAAGTAACACTGGCAACAATAATAAGAGTTGTAACAATAACGATAAGGACACCTAATACTTATCTTTTTATCGATCTCTTGCAAGATCTTGCCAGGGATTAAGTGCAGTCGGTAGTATTTGAAACGCTTATGCGGTAAAAACCGAACATGCCCAATACATAATACAAAGTATCCGTTTTTGGTGATGATGGATGTAAATAAACAAACGAAAGTGTTATTCGATTGTCGACGACAACAATTCCCTTTTGAACTGATGCGATTGTGTAAATATGAGTGGGAAATAGACGGATTATCGGAGATATTCGCGTACTCACTTATTCAAGGAGTGTTGTATTAGATATCATGTCACATCCACACTTCACACTCTTTCAGCTTGTCTCATTCAGTTTCAAAGAATCTACCGACACTCACTGCAGATCTTACATGAAATATGAGATCTGTTATCAAGCTTCTTCTTTGTCATTGAAGCTCTCCAGATATCCGCTTCACATGGGCAAAATTAACCTACGATTAGACATTTTAGTGTTCGACTGTATTCAATGCATGAAACAAGCACAGAGTTTCAATCTTTAGAACAATCAATCTGTAGGTCATCTCGATCAAACATCTCACTCATTACTTTGGTAGGCAACAATTACGTAAATCTATCTTTAACGATGAACTTCGTGTTGGAATTTCACACGTTCCCTTGTTGCGTTCATCTCACATTAGTGAATTGCTAACTTAATTACATGCTATTTGATATTGGATTGCAAGTTAAATGATATGTTTTTCTTAAGAAACCAACAATGGGAAAGACGAGAACAATATGATAGTCATTAAAAACAATGAGATGATGTAAATGTTTTATTGTCTAATTGAATGTCAATTATTGCACAAATCACTCGAATTAAAACACCAAAAAAAGGTCAATCGTATTAATAAAGCAACATGTGTTCTCAATAAGATTGCCTTGTACGAGAGTATTAATCCTAATATATCCGTAATCAAAGCCTAATTAACGATCAAATTACGAACAACTGGTGCAGATTGGTTGAATGGTGAACATTCAGACGATTTACGTACCATATAAATATCTGCTTGGATAAATACCTTCAATTATGCTGGTATATATGATGATGTGCACTAATTTATTGCATGTCATTAAGACTAAGATCGCTCGTTGAGGTTTTTTAGCTTTATTGCAAAAAACGGAATTAACGTTATTGTAAGATCCTTCCCACAACCCACAAATTAATGTTGTTTGTTTAATGTAGCATTGAAAATCCATCGATCAGACTGTTTGGTGTTTACGGAGTCAGATGATGTGAGGAAGTTATCACTGACCCTTGGAAGATAGGAGTCGATGGAAAGGTGAGCATAATTGGAGAGGTCGAAACAGGTTGTTTATAACATCTGACAAACGCATATGTGCTAAATCATCTCGACAATTGAGGTAAATTCATGTGAACCATCGAAACTGTCCTCAGTTGTCTAACGATGGAGTGCACCTAATGAGCTTCGATAACTTGATAAAGGCACTGATCATTCTTACAGTGGTTCCAATCCAGATATTTCTCAGTGACGCGAAAGAAATTAGTGTAATTAGACCGTTGTGTTGCTCATTATTTCATGCAATCGATTATGATTGCATGAAGAGCTATTGTCTGTGACACACTCACTTCGAACTGATTTAAATGGATTCTCATTCTTTTTAGACGTGTTGTATTCACTCTCATAGCTATCACATGCGAATACAGTTCTCTTCATGACNGTGTATTTGATAGAATGAGAATTTGACTTTAATCGTTGGCTGAAATGAATGAGAATTTATCAAAAGAGAACATTTTTGGTGATAAAAGCTATGAGAGTGATTATAGCAGCAAGGAAAAGAATGAAAACCCTGTTAGACCCTACGAGATAACGGTACTCAGAAAATAGGAGAATGAAGAGTTTTGCCATTCACTAACCACTTAATATACCCGAGATAAAAACCATCACAATGGCGTTCTATCATAAGCTAACAACTGCACGAAATACTAATTTCCCGACCACCTCCATCACCCCTTGACACCTCCAAAATACCTAAAATGGGTAATTTCA